GCTGACTAAAGGTTTTGCTTATAATATCTTTAAAAGAATCTAAGGGTTTTTTTTAGTTAAAAATTCAAACTTTTTTGCTTTATAAATAATATCATTCAAAATATCCACCACCTCCCCTCCTCCCATTTCCCTCCCAATCTCAGTGGAGGCTGACTGAGAAACCAATGATAATGGCACTGGGATTTGATTCTACTGCATGTAATGGCTTTTTGGGATCCTATTCTGTTTGGATGCACACGTTCCTAGGCCTGGATGGAGGGGTGAGTGCCTTGGACTTCCCACAGGGCAAGGTACCCTGCCCTCTCTTAAGAATGTAAGTTTTTTTAAAAAAGTTCTTTTAAACAAAGACGTATTTATTTCTACTTTATGTGCAATGTGTTTTGCCTGCATGTATGTCTGTGTGAGTGTGTCAGATTCCTTGGAACTGGAGGCACAGACAGTTGTAAACTGCCATATCGGTGTTGGGAATAGAACTCAGGTTCTCTGGAAGAGCAGCCAGTGTTATTTAGAATGCTAGAGGCTATGATATTTAGAATGTATTATTTAGATTTAATTTTATTTACCTGGATGGAGTATATTAAGGTATATTTTAATGTTTTATTACTCATATAACAGAGAGAAAATTGTCAAAATATTTATTTTTTTGTCTCTGAAATGAAGAAGAAGAGGAGTCAGGCTCACACAGTTCTAGAATTTGTGAGGGACAAGAATTCTCTGGATCTGTTGCCGTGTGTCTGGAAGGCACTGATGGAGACCTCTGTTCTGCGCCATTCTTTGTAATATGGTTGGCATGTGCATCTCTCCCTTGTGGACTGAGCGGAGTTCAGCTCGTTACTGCGTTCTTATCTCTGTGTGCACTTCTTTAGGTTCCTGCCTGTGTTTCTCACCCACTTCCTACTAGAATATGGAAGGGAGATAAATGAGGACATTTTATTGCAAGGAACAAATGTTCTCCCCAAATACATTACAATAGATTCATTATTAATAAAAACGAAGAAACAAGCACCTCCCAGGTACTAGTTTATAATCTTCCTAAAAAGAAGGAAGTTCCCCTCCAGCTGAGAGCTTCGATCTCTGATTCACTGCAGCTGAATCTAAATTGAGCTTTCACTCCTCCCAAACAAAACAGATCACAGAGCAGCTCTCCTAAGGTTGATTTCTGCAGAGGCTTTGCTAGCTATTTTGATTTTACAGGTATTTTAGTCTCAGAGACAATTATTTTAAATGATTAATATTTATCTCTATTATCCTCTTATATTCACTTTTCGGAGGCAGTTTTTTTTCCTGCATTGTTTTATGCTCAATTGGTAATTGTCTCTCTAGAAAATATCCATTTACTGCAATTTTAACATGATCAGCAGGTAATTTTTTCTCTGCTTTTGTTAAAGATTTTTTCTTTATTTCATTTTAAATATTTGATGATGGCAGTAACCAGTGCTTGGATATCAGCATCTGTCCAAACAGCTGTCATCCCAGGGCCTGTTCCCCGCTTCTCATTCTACATTTATTTTTCAAATAGGTGTGAGAAGCAAAGCCCAAACAGTTGACAATCTGTTTGTTTGGTCCACAAGTAGTTTACTGTAATGCCTACAGCTAAGTTATTGTTCCAACAGATGGATCACAAAGTTTTATAATTGCCAAATATCAGCTACCTCTTTAATGTTCCAATTTCTCCTTGTTGTATATGGCATTTGCTGAACTGTAGTTTTTCGTGCATGGATAATAAAGTCATTTCATTGTGATAGTTATGATACATTCAAAATCACTTTTTATGTAATTTTATTTCCCTTTACTTATTTTTAATTGATGAAACTATTGCCTTTCTTTTTGCACACATAACCTTCTGGTTTATACTGCTGGACTCCACCCTGTGGAACAACTTGACTGTGGAATAACTCTCCCCTGCTCTGTGCTATTCTTATGAATTCTTGTGGAATCTACATACTTGCTAAGATTCAAGTTTGACTTATGGGACCAAATTCCTTAAATCCCTCCATTAATGGTGGTTTGTTTTGTTTTGTTTGTTTCCCCCCATCAGGAAAGGCGGCTTTAGTACGTACTTCCCATTTTTGAGATTAGCACTGATGAGCAGGCCATAGTCAACATTAATGGGTTCCCATTTAAAGCTTGCCAAATCTTGACTTCCAGTTGATTCCAGCGAAAACATGATGTCTGGATTCTTCTTGGACAGTGAAAATATTCTTGGCTTCTATTTGGCTGTCTACAAAATCCCTGGTTCACATTTCCTTGTGCATGTTAAATTTTCTGACTCTCTGCTTCTCTCTCCTCTCCTGTTATTGACCATAACGTTGAACAGATAAAGTAGAAACTGTAATATTTGTAATTTGCCTTAACTGGTTATTCAGTGTATGTAACCAAGACCATCCCCAGCTGTTCCTTTGGTGGGAAGATAGTTTTTGTTGACTTGGAGAGAAGTGCTCTTTAATGTGCAGAATCACTCTTCACTGCCGGGCCCTGAAGATCTCCTCTGCCGCTTTTAGAAAGTGTGTGTGTTTGTGTCTTTGTAGCTCTTCCTTTTTGAGATCTCCTGGCTGTTTTCATTTTTCTCCCACTTTTATCTAAACTTACTGATTCCTGTGTTCTGTAGTAGTTTATATGTTCAAGATCATACTATAGTTTGCAGGTGTACAGAAATAACATTTCAGGAGAAATGAAAGTGCCAAATGATTATTTCATAATTTTTCTGTCCTTTTTATTGTACAGACAAATTCGAAAAAATAAATAGCAAATTAATGCTTAGAATAAAAGCAGACAGAAAACCAAGCTTCTTATAGACATATGCAGTTTTCTATCAGAGAACAGAACTCAAAGAGTACGGCTGAAGATCACAGTGTCAACAGCAAACTGTCAGACAGGAAAGACAAAACCCTGCTGATGTGGCGTGTGTGGTCAGCAGCTCCTTTGTCAGAGACAGCAGCTCAGACAAGTGTCTCAATCACCCTCCACGTCTGTGCTTCCTTGGTAAAGAATAAATCAATATACGAAAGAAAAGCAAAAAGATCAGCAAGTATCTACTTGCAAAAAGCCAGCTAATTTACATCATCTACATATAGTTCCTGGAACACAGTTCATACTCAATTCCTAGCACATCAGCCATTCTGTTTTTGAATGTTCTGAGAAAAATTCAATTTGATGAGCTCAAAGTATGTTTCCCAATACATTTTGTTAATTCTTATTTGAAATCTAATATTAATCAACTAGATGATGGTTCAAATATAATTGGATAGTCTTTTTAAGTAGTTTTTGATCTTTATGATATCAAAATTGTATTTTCCTGTCTCCTAAGTTTGTCATTGTGCTAGTCTAGACTTGGGCAATTTGCCAAGTGTGTAGGTGGATGTTTCATTTTAAAATACCGAATTTTGGATCATGTTGAAGCTATTACCTTTAAAAAGTAATCAAATGGCTCATCTGATTGCAATTTCTATTTTACCTTTTCACTTAGAAACAGAAATATAGTCTATTTGACTTCCTGGATTGTCTATAATATTCACAATTTAGAGGAGAAAAATATTTCCAAACATTCTCCAAGTTGCTTCAAAGTTATACCTGCCTGAAAATATAATATCAGGTCATAGTTATGGACACAGTCACTTTTATTATATACGTGTCATTTTTCTTTGTCATGAGAAATAAAACAAATATCAATCTTACTATTCTCTAGCAGAATTCTGTGGCTAATGCCATTTAATTGTTTTCATAGCTTATAAAACTAATTGGAAGGGTGAGGAAGACCGATGTAGGAATAGCATCTTCTTCTTAGTGTGTCAAGGAGTAGTATTCGCTACAGACCTGGGCATGCAGAGGTGTTTGCACATGCTGGTGCAGTGATGACCCAGTTCATCCAGGCAGGACTATGTCAGCTTTGCACTGTGTTAGGTGGACACCAGGCCTGTTTCTCATTGTTAGGTCTGTACTGCTCACCAACCCTGAGTGCTGGAACGAACAAGAAAACAACGGTTCCTATTTTTGCATTCTAAGTAGGCACTCTACCATGTGTGAGTATCTTCATGATTATATGACAAAAGATGCAGTCATTTAGTAACAGGCAATTTGATTGGAATTGTGGATACACCCAGGTACCCAGAGGAAACTTTGGGAACTGTGTCAAGTTCATATATAATAATTATGAAAGTAGGACTGGTTATAATATTGAGAATCTGGAGCACAAAAGAATTCTAGAAAAGTGTTTTGAGGCTGACGGCAGAATGTTTACAGAGAACACAAAATCTCTAATACTCCCTTCTGAAGTTGATGAATATTGCATTGACAATTCCTGGTTTATTTAGACAATATTGGAAAATGATCACTTCTCCAGTTCCATATTCAAGATATTCTTCTGGGACTCTGGACAGGATGTTTCTCTTAACCTTCTCTCCCCCCCACCGTCTTTTTTTCTTCTTTTTCATTTTACTAGAAAAGGAAAAGACTTCTTTGCCAGTTTTTTAAATCCTGTCTAAGCAATAAACTTGTAGCCAGAAATGCAGCTTTTAGAAAGTGCTGTAATCTATTGAAAACTTGAGGAAACACTTAACTTTTAAGGCCACATTAACTGAGGCTGAATTATGGAATGATTCCTCCGGAAGTTCGTGTCAGAGGAGTGTTACTGCCACATAAATCCACCCCGATCAGTTGACTGACAGGGAATAGGAAAAGCGCTTAAAATAATTGGACACTCAGGGGTCCCTTTCCAAAGTCTGTTGTGACATGTAGCTATGTCACCGCCATTAAAACCAGTGGGGGGTTGGGGGCTGAGATTCATCTTTACAGATTAAAGCTGGCTTTCTTCACACACAGTGCTGGGGAAACTATCAGAGCAGACAGGAGCAACACATATCAAATGTACTTTGGAGAGTAATGGCACTCATTGCCCTCTGAGCATTTATCTTTACAAACATTCCAGCTATAAATCCCAATGCATCCAGATGGAGACAGAAAGAGATGATATGGTGCTTACATTAGAATTTATTTTATTGAAATCGTGGTTTGTCTAGTGCTGGGTCAGAAAATCAGAGTTGACTTTAGAAATGTGTTTTTATAGACTTCCAGTCTACCTACTGGTTAAACAGAGGTGCGAATTTTGCCTTAAATGACTAGAGGGTTTTAACATAGATGAGAGAGTGACTGCCATCGTCTCTTTGGGAACAAATGAAGAAAAGGTTTCAAGCACAGATTTAATTTACGAAATTGGAAAAAATGTAAATTTATATGTTTAATTTTCATAAAGAAAAACACAATATTTTTATCAATACTGATTTTTTAAAATTGAAACAGAAATGTTTCACTTCTTCTTAATTATTGCAGAAACAATAGTAGAGGCTTATAGTCAATGTGTGTTTGATTCATAGTATACAAATAAAACAAGCTCACATTGTCATTTTAAGTGGTTTTTAATGATATTCAAATGTATTTGGGATACACCGTCATTAAAGACGTTTATGTGCAATTGAATTGTATGGTCTGATGATGCACACCTCTAACCCGGCACTTGGAAGAGAGAAACAGTGCAAGCAGAGTCATCCTTAGCTTTAGAGGGAGCTTTAGACCAGCCGGAGATACATGGCTGTGTCAAGAAAGAAAAACAAATACAAGAATAACTCATCTTCTTTGCTCTTACTACTTTTTCTGGAAGTTGTCTTCACTGATGCAGCTGTGACCTGAGGCGTCGTAGCAGGCTCTTGGTTCCACAGTGCTCTCGACATCTCTGTCAGTCCTGCAGATGGATACTTGGACCGGCCTCACTGAGTACTGAAATCAAAAGAAGTAAGTGAATTAAAAACGTTGAGAAGAATGAATAGTGTACAATTGCTCAACGAGGCTAGCTGGAACAGGTTTGTCAGCCTGATTAATGGAACTCCAGTGAAGGCATGGACGGTCACGGGCCTCATGGCTTTCCTTGGCAGACTAATAAAGGGATTGTAAACTGTTACTGTCATTCTGCACCCTTCAATGTGAACCAGGTATTATTAGCATAGTCAGTAACCTAACACAGGATAAAGCTATAGTAGAACACATATAGTAGAATCTGTAGAGATTAAATCTAGTGCCAATTACTGATTAAATTTAAACAGAGGATATTTCTGTATCTCATGATAAGTATCTGCCCAATCTCCCTTCCATATTGTCCCCACAGTTAGCATCTACCAACGTAAGGTACTGGTTTTCCTTTCAGCTGTCACACTGACGTCCTTCTTCCGCAGTTCATCTTTTGTTCCTTACACATAAATATATGTAAATTCTCTGGAGTGTGAGGGGATGACCTTTACAGAAAGCAGGAGGAGAGCAGAATCAACTGTGTGCAGAGGCAACACAGGGGGCAAATGTTAGCCAGACCCTCAAAATCCTCAGAGACTCTCTAGGGAACTGACCTTGAGTGCTGAGGACCACTGCTTAGAGAGTTTTAAGAAGTTCATTGTTTATTATAAATTCTCTTTCTTTCTAAAGTGACGGGGGAGTGGGCTCATATGATTATGAATTACTTCCTTGACTTCTGTCTTTGTATTCTTCCAGGTTTTCAGAACAAGTGTGTGTGTGTGTGTGTGTGTGTGTGTGTGTGTGTGTGTGTGTGTTTCTGATCGGAGTGGAGTGAGATGAACTGGAAGAAAGAGAAAGCATATTTAGAGATAAAGAAATAGTAACCATTAATATACTTTAGTCTGAAATAATGCAAATGATTATGCTATTTTAAAGAGAAAAGGAAATAAACTCGAATCAGGATCACAGAATGTCAGTCATAGACCACTAAGGGATCATACGGTTTAAATCTGTTATCTTGTTGGTGGGAAAATGTGTGCTCGGGGAGGATGAGTGGATGCATGTCTCAGCAAAAAGAAGGTGATGCATGGGCTGCAGACAACAAGAATTAAATTCTATCTACTGCCAAATTATCTTTTTAGTTTGCACCCATATAAAAACTCATGCTTTGTTGAAACTCTTTTGTAAATTCAAAATAGTATGTTAATATTTATCAAGTATAGGATTCATTTAACTATCCTGATATGGAAATTTTCATGAAATATAAAGATTCTATTTTCTTGGAATATTCTAAGGATATTATAGCACTACAGATGTAACTTTAGATTTTCTGCTGGTCCTTGGTTGTGTAGCTTTTTAATTTATAGTTCAATTACACTTATTTTCCTTTTAGATTCAGGATTGGTGTCCAGGGCCTGTGCTAAATTTTTATTTCCTATTTTATGATCTTCTTTTTCTGTTGGACAATTCTCATGTCCTGCTCTCCAGTACTTGAGGTCACTTCCCCCTCTGGCAGATGGAAGAATAAACTACTTGCATGTTATTTTGATCTCACTTAAATTCAGACATTGTAACAAAAGATTCATTAATCATCCATGCTATTATTCACATAATTTTATGGGGGGTTCAAAATAGGCAGAGATGGGGAGTCCTTTATTAAAAACTCCAGTTAACTACCCAGATTTGGAATAATCAGGACTTTACCATTCTTATGTCATTGATATAAAGCACCAAGTTTTTGTGATTAAAATATTTTCAGGCAAATTCAAGATTTTATATTTCACTTATGATTATTGAAATTGTAGCTATGACATTTTTGTTTTAATACAATTTCCACGTTGCATATAGAAAAATTACAATAACTTGATGCATTTCATAAGTGGTGCTTTTGTCGACAGTTGCAGAGCCGAAACAAGGCCAACATAATGCTTTAATTTATTATGACCTTTTATGTGTATATGATGTATTTATAGTTAATTATAAATAACACTTTTAAAAAATCTGTAAGTTCTTTCAGCCCTTTATCAGTTAAGATATTTTTCCATGATTCAGTAGAAGGTCTGTTCATGTTTACATTTGGTTGACTTAGTTATCACACGCTATTTCAGCAAAGTTATAATTGTATTGGGTGAACTGACTAAGTTCAAGTTGAATTTTGAGGAATAGTTGGGTATCTATGGATGCAATAACTTACTGTGACCAAAAGCAGCTTGGGGAAGAATGCATTGATTTCAACTCACACTTCAGGTAACCAATCATCACCAGGGAAGTTAAAGCAGGAACTCCAGCAGGGCAGAAAGCTGGCAGCAGAAACTGAAAGAGAGGCCATGGAAAGATGATGCTTATTAGCTTGCTTCCCAAAATTGCTCAGCCAGGTTTTCATACCACCCAGAACCACCTGTCCGGGACTTGGCCTTTCCATAGCTATCAAGAACTTAAAACATGCATGGCAGGCTTTGTCACAGTCCAATCTGGTGACACATTTTCTCAACTGAAGTTTCTCTCCCCAAAGACTAATTTGCCTTAAGTTGATGCGAAACTAGCCAGCACATTCAGAAAAGACAAAATGTTGGCAATTCGGTGCTACCAACTCATATAGTGCCGTACCATGCAGGTATCAAGAGGATCCCTACTTTGTTAATGCATCCATTTACTACTATCTGTGTAAAGATTGCAGCACCTAGCAGAAAGTCGTTCCTAATTCGCGCTGTCTTTGAGTGTGCAAATTGACAGTTTTCTGAGTCTGTTGTTTAGCGTGCGTAGACCAGATAAAAATTTATTATTAGTTAATTTCTGAAAAATGTAACAAAAGCTTTGTACCTTTTTGAGTTCATGCATTAACTTTCAGAACAAAGAATGGGTTTTATACAAGATAGTTTATGAGTCTATTTTGCTTTTGAAGTGCAATTTTATTGAATAATCACAGTCATTTCGTGGACTCATATTCAGACATTCTTCCATTAATGTGACGTGAGGAGTTCTTGATAAGCTTTTCAATTTCATCCAGCGCAATGCATCTTATTTCATCATATACATTTGTTATCTGAACCCAAGAGTCACCTGTTTTGTCAGAAATCTTGGCTTTATTTGTATGAAATGGTGTGTAAGAAACACCTCCACTTTATAAAATGTTAAACAGAAGAGGATTATGATTGCCCATGGTGGCATACATTCAAACTAAATACTTTTTGAGAAAGAAATTTGATACATACGTAAAGTTAACTAAGTTTTCCTTTTATAATTACTGTAACACATCTGTACATATAGATATGTTAAGCAGTATCATGTAAAAACAAAAACCATAAGCCCATACACACAACATAATCTTATATTAATCTTTTCAAATTAAAATAAGCATTGTAACATTTTATTTCTAGGGCCACGTTTCAAGGCTCTCTTCAGTCATTGTGAGCCACCCTCTTCCTGTTTATTTTAAAAGTCAGTTTTGTTTCTCCAATAAAATATGTTCAAATGTATAAGGAATTTATAGAGTGGGAATTCCCACTCTAGCAAAATTCCATAAGAGAGTTTTTTTTTTCACTTGATTTTTCACTGAGGGTCATTTCCAAGCTGCTTGTCAGAAGCCTGCCTTGTTTCCTTTAGCTGTGTGGTGCTCTGCAGAGGACAGCCTAACTACTTCCGGCATTTCTCTGTTGCTAAGTAGATGAATTATCTCAATATCTAGTATGGTTACATAGCTTTATTTTATGCACTTTATTCTATGTTGACACTATATTTCTAAGATCAGTTTTAGAATATATCTGAAAAGGGGAAATACACATGAGTTTCTGATATTTATCAGAAAAATACTCTATAGTAGGCAGGCCATATTGTGTATAATTCAGCAGTGTATAAGATGGTCAGATTCTTTTAAAATGCTTTTATTTATTCTTTGAGAATTTAATATATTATAGTTTGATCTTATCTTCCCTCATTCCTCCCTAAACAACCAAATTTGTGTCCTTTTTTTTTTCTTAAACCTACTCAGTCCAGATTGTGCTGCCCATATATTCGTTGAGTATATGTGGCTACCCACCGGTGAGCATCATCAACCAACAAGCGCTACACCCTTAAGGAAAACTCAATATGCCTCTTCCATCAGCTCTCAGTTACGAATAACTTCTCAGTTAGGTAGGGATGATCATGGTTCTCTCCTCCCTGTATGCTGGGATTTCGCCTGGGTTGTTTTCACAGGTCTTGTACACGGCATAAGTACTGACTTGTTGTATCTAAAACACACAACTCCGTTGTAGTCATCCACTGCCTGACCCTGAAAACCTTTTCTGTCTTTGAGTACTAAGCCTTCAGAGGGGAGCACATGGGACAGAGGTACCACATATGGCTAAGCTAGGGATGCCATTTTCTTAAAAACTCTCCAAAAAAGAACATCACCAACCTTCAATATTTGCCAGTGATGACAGAGTCTACAGTATTTTAACAGTGTGAAAACACGATTGTGACATCTCTGGCTGATCAGACTAGTGATCCCACAGTTTACATTTTTCAATGTACATGTTGGTGTAAGAGTTTTTGTCAAAGCTATGTTTAATCATACATGATAAAAAAACACATGAAGTGGTAGCTGAAGAAACACCTTAAACCTTTGCTGTCATTGTCATATTAACTCTTTCTTAGAGAAGCTGTATTGTGGTAACAGCTTTAACTATATGAACTTCAAAGTTATCTCTAGTAAGAAAGATACATGAATATTACCATGTAGTTTTTGTCTGTTCCTTCTTAAGTGGTCACTTAGTAATAATTGTGATTTATATAAATTTAAGGGTGATTTATTTTTAAGCAAGGGAATAGGAGATTTTTTGTTACACTATACACTCTTATATTTCCTACTCTATAGACTATGCAACTTCATACCTTTAAAGAATGAATGATTTTTTAAAAAAATCTCCAGACATTTTTCATCTTTAAATAATAAAAATTTCTTTTATCCTGGTTACAGTCAGCTAAAATGTTTGAAATTCATAAACACTGCTGGGAATATATACAATAGATGCCTTCAGAATGTACATTCTCACTGCTTCTCATTTACATTCTGAAACACAATGAAACAAGAACCAGACACCCTTCCTATGTTTGTATCTTTGATTAAGTTAGACACTTGTGGTAAATGAAAATGTACTTTCTAAGCAAAGGAATAGGAAGCCAAATTGCTATTTGGGCTGGAGATTTTCTTGAGAAAAATAAAACACATTGTTTTGATTTCGTCAGCGCATCGGTGAGTTTAATTTTGCAGTTGACTGGAGAGATGCTGTAATACCTTATACAAACATGATTTGCATCCGTCTTACCTCCTTTATTCTGTGCATACAAACAAAACTATTTTTCATCTATAACAAACTGTAGAAACATAAGCATGGAAAAGACATTCTTTGCTTTATGTATACAAATGAAGTAAACAGTATAAATCGACAGAACAGAGTCTCCAAAAGTCATTCATCAGTTTTTAGAATCAAACATTGGAATAAAAAAAGTGAGACATCCTGTAAACTATCATTTGATATAACTTCTGAACTCTATGAATCCTACCATACTTGTTTCTTCATGAAAATCTTTTTTCAAGGATTACAAATATATCTACAATATTCCCCTTAAAAAATTGCTTGTTTCTTTCCAGTCATGTAAACATGTTGCATATTTGAAGGCCTTACAAATAGTGTATAAACTTTAATACACATTGATTGCCTACAGAATCGGTGTTCTCATCATCTAGATGATCACCAAAATATTTGTGGACATCCAGTAGAGAGCCCAACACTCTAGGATGATGAGTCTTCTTACCCTTGGCTCATTCTCTCATCAAACAAAATATGATATCTCAAAATAGCTTTTTAAATATATTTCACTCAGTTAATGCTCTGGTCTCCAAATATGCTTGGAGTGGCTTCCTGAGCCTTAAATGTCAAGTTCTTAGTTCCACCCCAGGTCTACTCTAAGAAATCTGTTGAAATGGAACCAAGAATCATTGTTACTGTTGAATTTTTAATCCTGTCTATTTTGAAAGTGTATTGATTTGTTTTCTTGCTTCTCTGTGCCTAGCATCAGCACTGGTTAGAAGGGTGTGTCAGATATACTTGGATTGGATTTACAGAAAGTTGTGAACTGCCATGTAGATACTGGGACATGAACTCCTGTCTTCTGGAAGAGAAAGCCAATGCTCTTAAGCACTAAGGTATCTCTCCAGCCCCTAAATCCACATTCTTTATGAAAGACTTTAGGCATTCCTGCCATTTGCTCTAGAGAAAATATTGGTTTTTGATGTAGTGATTTGTTTTTTTGTTGAAGTGTAGCACTAGCTAACATTGAATATTCCCTTCTGGGGTAATATATAAAGACAATCATTTATTTAGTAGATTAGTTAGTGGCTAGTTTACCAGGAGCTTTTCAATATTGCTTTGCCATTTGCTTCTTTTTATTTCTGTTGTTACAATTCACATTGATAGTCTAGTTAATAAAATAGGATTTAAAGTTTTCCCATAACTGTAACCAGGAGATACTGTTTGTACTTCCTTCACTACTGTGTAACGCTATATACAATTATGCAGCCTATTTAATGTAATTCCAATGATTTTTATTTGTTATATTCTGACTGTTTATGCCTCCCCAGAAAATAAGTGAAATATAAAATTTATGATCTCCAGCAAGGTGATATCTGTGTTGTAATTTTTGAGAGAAAATTGATGCTCAGATTTTTGTGATGTCATTAGTGCCCTTGTATAAATAGGAAGTCAGAGAAAAGATATCTCTTCTACATCCCAGTACATCAAAAAAAGGCAAATAATGAAAAAGGGGCAGCCTAAAAGTTGAGAAAAATGTCTCATCAACAAGCAGGTTCACCCTTTCCCTTTCAGTTGACTGCTTAGTCATAGAGCAGTAAGAAGGAAATAATTGCTGTTTAAATATTTCAAATCTGTGATATTTTATTATGACAACTTGAAAAGACTTTCTTTAAAAAAAGGACATGGGATGCAATGAACTGTAGGAATTTAAAATTAAAACCATTTTTCTACCACTTTGTAGGGCTTACAAACCCCTTCTTCCTCTCTGTTAAAGGGAAATGGTGTGTGAAGAAGTTCGGTAAGTTTGATGCTTGGGCATCAAACATTCCAAGGAAACAATGTTTTGATGACATGAGAATAAATGAATCAGAAACACATGGATTGAGTTATCTTTGAAATACACTGCAGCAGAAACATCAAGGTATAGAGTGGTATTTGGAAGCGTGTCAAATTCTAAGTACATTTAACTAAAGGAGAGGGAATTTTTAACTCCAGGGTAGCATCCAGCATCTCTAGGGC